CGCAAACTGCGTAACAATTGAACTATCCGTGAAAGTTTGGTAATTAAGTTTCATTGCGCTTCGTGGATCAACGTTCGAGGTGGACGCCCGTTATATGGCTCCAAGAAAGTTTATTAATCGTGTTTGATAAGTCGCGAAATTAGATTAGAAACTCTGAATGGCGGTGCGGATTAACGTGATAGATCTTCGATAGTATTCATCGAAGGCTCCTGCTAGTGAGAAACTGAGTCATGAAAATCGAAAACTCGTTACATTTTCCGAACGACATTTTTCACAATCGAAATATTATTTATATACGCAAAGTATTTGGAGACGATTTATATATCAGGATAGTAGATATTTTCATATGTGGAAATGATTAAAAGATATAAAGTAAAGCTTCTGCATAATTAATTTTAAATCTGATATTCAGTAAGGCTTTGCTGGTATGTCTGACCAGTAATTGATTTCTCTACTTGCATTGATGCTTATAATCATTTATACAGGTATAATAACATTGTCACTTACATTTTTATGGTTGGGTTCCATAGCATATAACAAAATTCACATTTGCTACAAAAACGAAATAAAACAACTGCTCTTGGTAAACATCTTCTCCTGTATTCAAGAAAAAGTTATTTCCGCTGAAGACGCATTTATTTCAATTAAAAGTGCATCACAGAAAGTCTGCCGTCAATTACCGGCCGGGAAGTTTGCGTTCGCAGCTTGGAATTTCGAAATAAACATCCGTAGCGAGAGTATCTCCGAGAAACGAGGGGATACGCTAAACAGAAGGGGCTTAGAGAAGATTCATTTCGTGGAAGTCGTCAGCCTTTTGTTCGTTAAGGAAAACCAGCGAATGATACGTTGCCAGGAAATGGACATTAATCGTGTAAACTTGCAAAGACGAGATCCGAAACAATTCTTGGGGAACGAGAGTTTCGCTGAATCTTTGCGTTGAAATTCATGAGTACGCAACGCGGATTCCCCAAAAACCGCGACAGGATTCTACCTTCGAGCGAGCACTTGTCGGGAATTTTCTTTTCCTTAATTTAATCTTCCCGCTGGTGAGTTTCCATAAAGAACGTTTTCCTTTTCAAAACGGTCGCCACGGGGAGGATAATCGCCTGTTAAGTATCGTAAAGTATCTGGGAACGAGTTTAATATTCCATCATTTGGTAATTGCGAATCTTACAAAAGGTACAATTTATGTCTGCGGTTGTGGGCTTAGGGGACATATTTGAGCAATTTCGTTAGAAATTAAAGTTAGAATCTCCTACTCTGTTTCGCTTTATTCTGCACTTTTGGTGATATACTATGAATGATCAAGTATTTCTGATCTTTTCATTCTTTAGTATGATATGAATTTAATTATTTTTTATTGACCTGCAGAATATTATAATTGTACTTTTATATATGCATATAATTGCATGAATGATTTATTTCGTTACAAATATTATAAGCAATTAGTAACTAATTATTTTCTCATTACTTATTCGTCTATGAAGTAATTAATATCTCAACTAAACGATCTCTGATAAACTTTTACTTGTTGCATCAAAAATAAGATCTATACTGAATCGGAAACATCTTGTACACAAATAACTTCTACTGAATTCTAAAAACAAACATTCGCAAAATTATCTTAATAATGTATAAGACTCCATAAAATATTTGATTCTTTATTCTAGAAATAAGTTATTCTAGAAATAAATATTTTTAGTATTACCGAGAAGAGTCAGTATTATATATAAATCAATAAATAAGAATGAAGTAATTTACTTTTATTATAAAAATGCATTTCTTTAGGATTACTCACTTTCAATTTTTACTAGATGTCAAGAATGAAAAAAAGTATGGAAAATAATACGTATATAGTTATTTGTATGGAGGTGATTAGTTAATTCATTTTGCCTATAAAACACAAATGTTTTCTCGAGTTAATTATAATATAAGAAAAGTAATTGACATATGCAACGGAAAATTCCTTGATACTTCAAACGCGTTAATACGCTCGAAACCAGAAATGAACTGAATCCGATCTCAATAATACGGCCTGGCTGGCTAGTTTCTGGATGATTCGGGACATTTGCAGTAAATTATAATGAATTCCATTCATCGTGAATAATTCAATAGAGTATGCACTTTGCATTAAATGCTGTTAATACACGTAAATGAACGCAAATGCTTCGGAAGCGGAGTAGCTGACGCTTTTAACTCGGGAACTTTGGCGTTCAGGGACAATGAAAATTCCACGTGTCTGCGTGTCGTGCTTGGAATATCAACGACAAGCCTTCGACATGAATCGGCAGCGACCACCGGGGACATTTTCTAAATTTTATGCAAGCAGTATCCCTTCCTCGCATACTCCTTCTTTCGGGGTGTCTATTATGCTCCCGTAGGGGATTATAAATGAAGATTTTACACGACACCCGTTACACTCGCTCTAGCAACGACTGCGGCTTTCAATCCAATAGATTATGATCTTCATTTAATTCTAATCAAAATTACTTTCTTTTTATGAAATTGAATTTATTTATTCCTACATTGGTTGTATTATTATTATACTTTCATTCATTATTGTACTGATTTTTTATTTGAAAAGTAACTCCTTTGCCTTCTTCTGTGAAAGTAATAAATGAAGAAATTATTTATGAAGCAAAAGGAATTCTTTATTTAATTATTTTAAAAGTTTATGCAAATTGAGTTACTCAGTTAATATTATTAAAGGGAGATTCGACATTTATTACCACATTGGTTCCTTTGTTGTGACACTTTCATTTATTATTGCTACCTTTAATTACATTTTATGTGAGTAATTTTAAAGAAATACTATTATTATCGATATTATGAAGGAATTATTTGATTATTTTACAATTTGACGCAAGTTTATAATAATAAATAATAATTAGATTTAGTTGCCGTAATTAAAAGGAATCGCTATATTAATAGGATAAATGACCTAATATTATCTATTTAAAAACATAATATTATTATCGAAGAAACAAGATTATTCGAAAAATAAGGTTATAATTTACATTATTTTCATTGTCACTATTTTTCGATGACAAACAATAAATAAAATTGACGTGTTTTCTAAAGGGTGCTACAAATTCTAGAATAAGGAAGCATTGCATATATTTTTTCTAATTGTACTTGAAACAATTTTATAATGAACGATTGGCGTTATGTATACACGACGACGATTATAATCTCAAGATTCCGTTTTCCTCCTTACGTCGCTGTTGCTAACTGCTTAATAATTCTGGCCTCGGTGACACTATACAACGCAGATAACGGTAATAATACTAAAATGGTAAAGCGACTCCAGTAATTAACTGCCTTTAAACGAGCCTTGCACTATCTACTACAGCTCAAATTAGGATCCTCTTTGTGCTACTACCATCAAATTAGAACCAGACTTAATTGAAACCACTCCTTTCACTCAAAAAGGAATGGGAATAATCTACAGTACTTTAGACACGTTCAGCTTTCTGGCTTGTGAAGAATATCTGCAGAGTACTGAGTTGTTTTTCTAACCTGATCTCATCAAGCAGTTTTAGTGAAAATATATAAATTTAATATATGTACTTTGATATAGTTATTTTAAAAATAGAAAGTGGCGATTACAAATGATGCTACATTGGGCAGACAAGATTTTTCTTACACATGCTTGAAACAGTTTCTTACTACTATTTTTGTTTAGTATGAATTTTTAAAAAGAAAATTTTAATCGGACAATCAGAATAATTAGCAATGTAAGGGATGTAGGTTCGCAGGAAGGAATTTGGAAACAGGTTCTCGTTCTCTCTTAAGAGTGCAGCAAAGAATGCCGCGTCCGCTACTGCGAGAGCGATTCTTATACCCGATCGTTGCTAACAGACCGCGGTCAACCAACAAGCCGCGTTACTATGCGGGCGCGTTCGCGAGCGTTCGTATTGTTACAGCAATGAAATTTCAAATACCTATCATTTATACATTATTCTAGATAAAAAACTTTGAGGAAAATGCAAAGGGCAGTATGTAATTATATAAGACCCAAGAAAGACGATCATAGTCGACCTACATTCGCATAGATTTCCTGTGTGCTAAGTTTCAATTGTATATTTAAAGAAACCCCTATTTTTCACCGTTAAAATATTGCCTCCAGCGATGCTCGAGTACTCCGCAAACATTTATCTTGCGAATCATTATTCAAAAGAGTCTACTTTCCATTCTTTACGACCAACATGTTCTTTATAACATTCTCCTTTTTTCAAGGGGTGATTATTTCGACTCCAGTGGGTTTGCTTTTCTTCAATAATTTTTTTAAACAATCTCAGATATTCATATTATACGATGCATACATATACATACATATGTATATTATATCAGGTTGAGATAAATGATTCAATCGTTTCCATTAAATAATTAGAAAAATACATACATACCATGTATATGTACAGAAGATAAATCACCCAGTTATATATTATATTACGATTATACATGCATAATTACTATAATTCGATAGAACAGGGCTTATTGAAGTAAAAGAAAAGATAACGTAACTGTATTTAAAAAATAAAATAACTGTTTCAATTGTATATTTAAATAAAATTAAATATTATTTGAAATCATGTGTAATCATATTTAAAATATAGTTATGTCAAAAGAGTCCAGATTACTTTAAATAAAAATTGAAATGTTTCAAGAGACATACAAGATTGCAAAACATCAAGATAGAGGGTTCAAAGATAAATAAAATTCATTTACATACCTACGTGTCGAATTACAAATAAATATAGCTACAAAACGAAGGCAGCTTGCACCCCTTTCACAAGCACCTAACAAATCTCTCTCGCTCAGCCAGCAGATTAAATAACCATTATTAGCACAATCCGCGCCAAGAGCGCGAACAGCCAAACTAATCGACGTCAAACTAAACGCAAAAAGCGACGAAACGCGTCGCGATGAATTTCACGAGAACAAGAAAGCTCTCCTTATCCACACAGGGTCTCGAAACGTGGCAATTTCTGTTTCAGGGACGTCGGCTCGCGATGGAGGATCGTCGAGGCGTAAGAAATGCCCGCTCGGACGCCAAAGCGTCAACGAACCGCGGCTGAGCTCTCAATCCTCCTGAATGGAACCCTCGACACTTGGAAGCGGCGGGTAACTGCGTGGCAAGCGAACGACAGACGCGCCCGGGGGGTGGCTATAATAAGCATTCCGTGGAAAACGGCTGAAAAATGAGGAGCTCGTGGTCCCTGTGCTCGCTGGTGTCGCTTATGCTGGCGGTGAACAGCCTGCAAACCGGCGGGCTCACGAGGGGCGGTAGCGGCATTCAAATCGGCACCAGCGACAGGGCAACGCACACCAAGGGGCTAGGATTCGGACGGGGAACGGGGGTGAGGCTTGGCGAGGGCAGATTTCCAAATTCAACGAGGCAGAGATCGTTTACCACCACTACGACAACTACACCGTCGCCACCGCGATTCACCCACGCGCCGCACTCGGAGGGAGGCGCTCATAATATCACCCTTCTGGAGGTTGGTACTGTTTCTAATGGTTAAATTGAGTGGAAAGAGTCGGGCTGCGTTGTTGGAATAGAGATTTTTGTTGAGTGAGAAGATAATTGCTTGATTGCGGTTGGCAGTAACAAGGTTAACCAGTCAGCTGTGATTCACGAGTATACTTGTCATTGGAAGTGTTACGGCGTAACAATGGGTTCTAACGGTGGAAAATATTTGACTATCGCGAGGCCAGCTCCTCGATGACCGTCGTGTCGAAAACACGAGAACGACCGTCATCCAGTTGTAATTCTTACGTTCTCAAGCGAACATTAAATCCATATTACTCTCATCTCCCATGTTTTATTCACTATTCACAATTTCCAAATATTCATTTGCAGTTGAGGGGGTATCCTAAACTAGGAAGTCTAAAAAAAGCGGTTTATCGTGAATTTTTTTAGAATGAAACAAAATAATTAATTCTATCGAACTTTTTATCCTATTTTCATACATATTTGAGTAGTCTGTAGAAATTTTTTCAACAAGAAATATTCAAATTGAGTCTACTGTAACGCATATTTGTAAAGCACCTTGCAATTAAAACTTCCTATCGGCGGGAAAGATGCAGGTCGTAAATTTAGTTTGACACAAAAAAACCAAAAGAAATGTTCATTTTCATACATTTTTTCTTCTATGTGAACTAAGAAAATTCATACAAAAAAAATTTTAAACAACTTGTTTATTAAGTTAAACTGATTTTTTCACCCAATGAACTCGTTCTTTTTTTCAAACTTGCAGTTATTTCATATTTCACCATTTTTGCGGATTTTTCTTAGTTCATATAGTAGACAAATGTATGAAAATGAACATTTCTTTTGGTTTTTTTGTGTCGAACCAAAATTACTTTTAGTTTTTTACTAAAAGGAGGTTTTAATTGTGAGGTCCTCTACAAATGTGCGTCACAGTCCACTCAATTTGAATATTTCTTGTTGAACAAAATTTGTGCAAACTACTCAAATATGTATGAAAATAGGATAAACAGTTTGACAGAATGAATTATTTTTTTCCACCCTAAAAAAATTCACGAAAAACCGCTTTTTTTAAACCTCCCAATTCAGGATATACCCTTAAGTCGGCGCGTGAAGTGAGCATCCTCGAAAGTATTCTTTCAAAAATTAATCGTCAATTGCTCACGCGTAAATAGGAAAAATGCAGTACTTCGTGTCGTGGCGAGTATACTCGTCATGCGTAAAATTTAGTTACCATTGTTTATTTAAGAGTATGTTTCACATATTAATTTGAGTAACAGAAGTGTAAGTGACATGAATTTTTGAGACGACCTAATATAGCCGTCTTTGCGATCCAATATCACTCTGTGTTTGACGACTATACCTGTCGTAACTTGATTCTCATGGCACACATAGGTGCGCGCTCTGAAAAGAGAATGTCACAACCGACTGGTTAATTAACGTCTTTGCTCTGCAAGTAGTTTAATCAAGGCAAAGGATGTAACCGGATAACCGGTTCATTTTCAATCGAAGAACCCTCGTAAATATCCGCATAACAAGTTGCCACAGTTTACTGTTTCGACTAAGTAACTTTTCTTGTCGTAACACGTAGATATTATTAGATTGTTACCAATTTGGAATCTGAGCTAACAAACCATCTCTTTTAAAGTGAATTATGAAAATGATGTTGCTCTAGCGGTGTTGAAAGAAGTATTATATCAGGATTGAGAGGAAGGATACTGAAAACGAGAAGAATTGAGAAAAATTGAATTTAGTTGAATTATTTAAATGTCCTTATTTCTACTCATGAAAAAAATCCAGTTTTTCCCGAAATCTACACTATAATTTTTTTTATTTTTTTCATACTAATTTTAGTCCAAGTTAACCCTAAATATTAAATCACATTAGCACGAGAAAAAAAATAATTGAAGTTTAAAATGGTTAGGTTTAGTGAAGGAGAAGTGTTTTGATTATTAATTCCTACGATGCTCTATTTCACGATGTTCTACGTCAGGATCTTCTACCTTGAAATCCTCTAATTCAAGATCCTCTACTTGAGGATCCACTACTTTATGATCCTATGCTTCACGGTTCTCACTTCCTGTGGTCCCCTGTTTAACCTCTTAACCTATGATTTAAGTCACGCTAATCCAAGTCATAGTTGGTTGCGTTATCCCCTTGGAGTAGGTCAACCATGTCCTTGATACGTGGTATCTGTTTCTGACCCATATTCCGTTCCAAGTCTCCCAGACGATGGTATAGGCTAAGTGAGTAAGAATCTTTTACTTTAGGGTTTTGACTTTTTACGATCCTGTACTTTACGATGATTCTATTTTACAATCTTTTATTTAGGGATACCATATTTCACTATAATTCTGTTTTACCATCTTTTATTTTGAGATCCTATACTTCAAGGTCCTTTACCTAAGGAGCTTACTAGCTCAGAATCTTTTATTTCTGGATTCTCTTCTTAAGTAACCACTTTTTCATCCATGCAAAGTATACCTACGTCAAATGTCACTTAACTGTGAATTATAATATACATACATACAGTGGGTGCAGAAAGTATTCGTACAGCGATCAATTTCCGAAAAAAACTGTGTAAAATTATAATTTAGTAACTTATTTTTTATAAACAATAACATTCTATATATTCTCGGAAATCTCTAGAATAGATAGAGTACAAAAAAAAGTAGCTATTAATGAAAGTTACGAAATTAATAAGAAAAAAACAATTAATTGTTAGAAATATTGAAGCAATAAGTATTCGCTCAACTGTTTAATTTTTAAAACTTCATTTAAAAAAATTAAATTTACATTAATTTACAAGTATATAATACTTCCTTCGTGAGATTTTCTTTTGATTTTATAATTACTGTAACTCTTCTAAGCGTTAAATTAACTAAATTATTAGTTGTTCGAAGTCGGATCTTCTTCAATTTTTAAATCGTTTTAATTCTTCTTCATTTTTAAAAGTACTTTCCTGGATATTTGATGTTTTCTAATTCGTACGGAGCAATAAACTAATGTGTTTACGTTATAAACTCTACTGTAAATGGTTCGTCATAAGAATCGTACAAATACTTACTGCTTCCATACTATTATCAACTTTTCGCATTTTTTTGTTAATTTCACAAATTATATTAACTAGTAAATGTTGTTTTTGGACTATATCTATCTTACAGACTTCGAGAATATGTAAAATATCATTGATTATAAAAAAAGAAGTTAAGAAACTACAATTTTACAGAAAAGTTTTTTGGGAAATTGATCGGTGTACGAATACATTTTACACCCACTGTACATATTTACTCACCAATATTCTAAATCCATTACCTCCAATTTCTTCTTCTCATTCATAAGATGACACCATATCGATGTGTGCTTGTCAACACTTATTTATAAAGTCTCATAAACATAAATGTCTTCTTTTCACTCGCATTAAATTATTTATTTATACTAATGTTTCGAAAGACTTCACTAATTCAAGCGAGTTCAGTATAAGTTCCGGAGCACAGGCAAGTTTCTCACTTTGATCCTCGTATTGTGATGCACGATCAACGACTGCTTAGATCAGTCTGCTCTGGTTCACGCTCTATTTTATAACACTGAACTGTACTAGTATTAGTTTTATACTTATATCTGTTTCTCTTGTTGTGGTACGTGGAAGGGGAAGGACCCACGTGGGAGGCCCTCACACGTGGACTCGCTGTTACTAACGTATATTTAGAAGTCTTGATCAGCAATCCACAAAAATATACTACTGGAAACAGCTGTGACAATGGCACAGATCGTACTACAGACATTTGCATAGAGACCTGATTCTGACTAAAGTTTATGCATTAATTAATTATAAAAATTGTAAGTTTTACTGAAGATAGAAGTAAAATGAAGGAAATACACTTTAGAGAAAAAAGGAATTGGAATCTGCAATTGGCATACGAACGGTTGTTTGTTGTGAATTGTTTTAACGTTATTTAAAATAACTTGTTAGTAGAAAGTAACAAAAGTACCATACTAAAAATTTGATTTAAGTACGTGTACAAATTGAAGTTGAATTAAAATAACTTATAATAAAATAATTTATTAAACACATACTCCAATAATATTAACACTAATATTTTTAGCAAAATTAATCCACTTTGTATATTTTATTATTACATATAAATCAATATTTGTATGCAACTATTTTTTTTTATACGCCTACAAATTGTGAACAAACGCTGAAGTCATATAATTTACCTAAAAACTTTCGAAAGTCAAAAATTAAAAATTATATTCACCCACAGAGGATTGAACAATAATTTTTCTGTAGAATTCTTCTAACCATCTTCATTATAGCATTCGTTAATTTTCCGAAAGAACATTCATTGCGCCAGATTGTTATCTTTGATATTTGGCATGAAGTCGTTCGCTATGTCTGTAAATTAATGACAGAAAGGTCGAGTGACTCTCTCAACTCGCAGCTAACATCGTTTTCTTGCGTACTCGTGTTTCTCGACGTATTCAATAAGTACATTCCACGAATAGTTCAAATAACATTAATCAGGGCGACATTCCGTTTCTGGAATTCCCTGTCAATGGACAATACCGAAGCTTTCTATCCCTAAAAGCAGAGATTCCTATTTCTTGTCAGTTTTTCGAGATCCTTTAAAGGATCTCAATCGCGTACCCAAAGGAAATGATCATGCATTCGAACGTCGGATACCAAGAAATGAGTTTTTGGTGTTCTTGGAAAAAGATTCGTTTCCTTTTATACATACAAGAGTGTTCTTGGAAGTGTTATATGTTTTTGTCACATTTCATCTTGGTTACTTTTGATCTCTTTACGGAGATAAAGTAATATATAATATAATATAAAGGGAATGTTGAAAATGACACTGAAAAAATAATAGTAAATGTATGAAAGTAAAAGATGTTTCCACATTTCTCCATATTAACAATGTTTTTTGAGAACACTGCTCCAAGACAAAGAATGGAAACATATAATTACTGGTCGAACAAGACTAGTGGATTCTCATTTATTCTTCTATTTATTCGCAAGCTACTGTTTTGATATAATTTAATAATTATTTCACCCTCATTTCTCATTCAGTTGGTTGAACTCTTGAAAATAATCGCTTACGTGACCCCGCTAATTACACGATACCTCGAGCTGCTCGACCGTGGATTTTTTAACTTCGTCTTTTTTTCCAACAGTTGTCAGTTGAAACATTATCCAACGCGCTAATTAGGAACTTCTTCTGCGAGGTATAATTTGCTTGGGTAATCGGTTTAAGCGAGCGACGGAGAAGTTCGTCCAACTCCCGGGAGTAATTATTCCTTTACTCGTCACAGCCACCATTATTCTCAATTTTCCTCGTGCGAACTATCGCTTTCGATCAGATTTCCAAGTGACGTTTAATCATCTTAATGTACATCCGCGGTTCTGCTGGCCAGACAACAATGAACGTCGTGATGGATCCTGTCGTTCCTCCTCACGTTTCCATCATGGTTAGTTCTTATTATCTTCCTGTTATTAGTTTCTCATTGGACAATATATTTATCAACGAACTGATTTAAGAGAAATAGAGGAAGCTCTTACAAAAAATTTGTCAAGATAAGTATGAAAAGAAATAATAAATAATATTCAAAACTGGGTTAAATTTGTCTTATGTTAATTGCAACGATTAATCATGGCTTAAATAGAATTGTATAATAAAATTTATCTCTCTGCAAGCTCATGATGCTTCCTGTCGTTTCCATTTTCGTTTTAGTCATAATTAGTTCCTCTTTGGACAGTATATTTATCAACGCACTCAATTAAAAGGAACAATGAAAAGTTTATGTTAATAATTTCTTAAAAACGAACCTCAAAGAAAATAGAAATACATGACTAAATATATAAAATAATATCCAAGACTGTCAAGTTAACTTAAGACTGTGAAGTTAAGAGTATTTCATGCTAATCGAAACAATTGTTCTTTGTTTAAATACGAGGGTATAACAGAATACATTATATATTTATTTGATATATGTATATTTTCTCTTTCCGAAGCCATTTTTCTTTATAAGTGAAAGATGCACAAAAAATAAATTCTTCATGAGATATTTCGAGCGAAAAGCATGAAGAAACAATTTAGAAAGTATTTAATCTAGCAACATTTTTTTATATTTCTTCTATCAAACACACACACACACACACACACACACACATTTATCTAAACATATTTACTTCATTCGAGTATACGCCCATTCAACCCCTACCTTGCTCTCTCAAATTCATTTTTTTCGTCACCACTGAAGAGACCAAAGATAAAATGCTTCCAATTGTTTTACCTTCTAATCATTCAACTAGTATTACGTCGTTAAAGATTGTTTAATTGCTCGCCATGGAAAGCCAAAGAATGCAGTAGAACGCGCTGAGCGGTTGATAAAGGGGGATAAGACAGAATGAAAAAGAGCGGCCAATTTTTAAAGCGTTAAATTAAACTGGTGAGGGCGCGGCAGCAATTATGGCGGCGAGTTCCATGGAACATGGCTTTTAATTGTGAAAACCAGCATGATTTACATTCTTAATTAACGATGTGTTCCCAGCCAGCGGAAACTAACATAAAGAAGGAACGTGTCTTTGGAACTGACCGCGAACTCTGGCGGAACTTCTCTTAATTATGGCGTCCCGCCACAAACACGCGAGCGCAGCGCAGTTGTTTGATGATCTCCTATCCGCGAAATAAGTTTTACAATAGTGTATTTACAAAATGTAAAATACGTTTGTGGTTGTGGATCAAAACTGAAAATTCTAATTTTTGGTTCTGTATCCCATTGCTAAGGGGTAAAATTAATTCACCTGGAGGTCCTCGAAATACGATTCTTAATTAGTGTTCACTGTGGTATTGCACTTGTACTTGCCTTTTGTGCAAAAAAAAAATAAAAATTCATCTTTGGTTAAGAAATATAAGGAAAGTAACTGCAAGTAACAATATTGAAATTATATTGCATTATGACTCGTACGACTATAACATACAGTGTGTTTGATTTGAATTAATATTAGAAAAAAAGAAAGTATACTCTCAGGCATCTTTCTTTAGGAAGAAAGATGAAAATGTTGAATCTACCAATCCCCCAGTGAATAATTATTACAAAGAAAATAAAAAACAAAAATAGCATTAAGAAAATTTGCAATATTCTACTTGAAAATGCAGAGTCTGTTTATTGTTGAATATTAAAATGAAAAGAAACCTCGGATAACCTTATTGAAAATAACATTTCATTACGAACGACTCTGAACTCTGACGAACCTTCCCCTAATTATGGCATTTCGCCGCAGACACGCGAACGTGGTTGTTCGACGATTTCTGGCGATGCTTCCGTGGTCAAGGGTGCGATCGTGGAAAGTTTGCACCCCTAGTAGGCAGAATTGTAACTTACTGTCCACTTCCAGCCTACGTTCCATTCATTCGCCGCCGATCGATTTGAGCAACAGGTGCTCGCTGATCCATTCTCGTGGTAATAAAGTGAACACTTCGTGATGCACTTTGTTTTATCCTACTGAGTAGGTAATGTCACCCAGGTTTGCCTTATAGTTGCAAGCATGCGTCTATCAATCATAATAATAGGCACGATTGATTTAAAGACAATTTCAAGCACAGTAAATATGTACTTAACTTAAAATATTTTATAAGTTTTTAGAGAGATAAGATGATCTATGATTTCTACTGTAACTTGTATTTATCAATATTTTTTGTAAATAATTAATACGAATACTCTTGACAGGCCCTGATTGAAGATTTTTTACTTAATTCAAATATTTATTTATATTTATATTATTAAAAATGGCAGAAAATATACATTTACAGATAACTTAAATTAAGATAAAAAATTAAATTGTGATACAAAATATCTGCCCTCTGTTTAGTCTCAAAAATTCCTTTTCTTAAAACACAACATTTCGTATTAAATCTTCGTTACATCCTTACCTTAGATTCCTATTAATAGTAAATTAAACACTCGCTCTACAAAGACTACACCGAACTAAAGAATTCTAAAAAGACTACAAAGAATTCTTGCTACCCAAATTGAAAATGCTCGAGAAAAAAACATTTGGAAGCAACTAACAGTAAAGTTCACGTAGATAACAATGTGCAGCAGGCTTGAAGAGGTTAAAGAAACGTTGTGAGATTGAAAGGCTGCGAGGACGTGCCATTCAAAGCACAAATGAAACTTTAAAATTTCATTCAATTGTTCATGGAACCGAGACCGCTTCATAAAGTGGAAATGCAATTTTCCGGCGAAGGTAGCCTATTTTTTCCTACCAAAGTGTGCTCTTTTGTGTAACAGGTGGGCTTGATGGTGCCGCACAAGTCATTTGGTGTGAGGGAGTACACGAAGGCGGTGACGTCTGCTGTCATCATGCTTCAGAAGAGCACGAGGGGGCCAAAATTAAAACTTTTCGAACGATACGACATTCACGTGAAGGTTGCCATGAAGGCGCTGACGCCAAGTCCCACCAGTAAGTTTACATTTTTTTAAATATAACTTCTTATACAACGTCAAACCGATTTAATGATATAATTAGCTTGATCCAAACAATTAGCGCTTACGAGAAAAATAGAGGATATAACGATAGTTTATAGGCTGGTTCGAAATAAGCTTCAGACCGAATGTTAATGAACATGCCAGATCAATTTCTGTTAGTACTATCAATAAATTTCAAACATCAATAAGAGTTGGAAGGTCATTGTATATTAACATCTTTCTTGACGTTATTATCTCATAAATAGACAGCAGATTATATGCATTTATAGAGTATAATAAAATACAGTATACATATAATGGAATTCATAAACACTCTTTTGTTTACACAATAACATTAATATTTATATTCGTATTTATATTAATTTGTATTCACATACGCCTTAAAAGCATGAAATTCACAGTCTACTCGAAAATATAATAATTAATATAAATACAAATATAAAGTAACGTCAGAAGATTTTGTGTCTGAATGAACATTCTCATGATACAATTGCGAGTTCTCGTAATTAATGATTCGTTTGCATGTGACGCGGTCGTCTTCGCCGCGTAATTCCTTTCATTCGAACAAAGACTTTCTTTTAAATCCGACGTCTTTGTCATCTTTGCTTCCCGTTTTATTCGTCCCTTCAATGGTCAGACCAACGAGTATAAATCAGACCAGCGATGGATTAAGAATTCTCAGAGAGATTCGTTAATTCTATCCGCTAGATTGGATTGTGACGGATGAATTCCACCAGAGGATTGAAAAGCGGTTTCATCCTCGAACGGGTAAAAGTGATCGTCAAATATTGCTTCACCTTGCGTTCTAACTCCTTTCCATTAATATTGAAGTGCTGGAACTATATACATCTGCCTATCCAATTTCGAGGCTACCATTATATAATTTTAATAATGAATTCAAGATTGACACTTGGCTGATAAAGAATAAAAGTCTGTGTGGAAATTAAGTACGAAAGGTATACAGAATATAATTGGTGAAATTATGAAATAATAAAATTTAATGATGTATATATTATATTAAATTACATTCAATTATTACATAATTTCATGAAATAATGTACTTAATATTAAATAATGTAATGCATCTATGTTTCATTTACTTTCCATTTGGGGCTCATTATGCTATTGCTATTGAGATACTGTTTTCATCCAAATTAATAGATTAATCACATATTGTTTTTGAAGTGCTGTTTGCAGTCATATTAATTTATAATAATTTTTTCACGACGAAAATTCATTTGTAGTTCCAAAATTAAAAATAAAAGGAAAGTTACAGTACTCATTTTAATAAACAAAACCACAATTTTATATTCAAATATAGCTATAGCTTGATGACTTCTATGCCTGAAATATGTAGTTTTCGTGATCTGAATTAAATTTATAAGAAAAGAAAGTATGTACACTCTTAACCATTTCTCTTCAAGAAGAAAGACGAAGAGATTATTACAAACTCAATAAAAAAACCAAACATAACATTAAGAGACGATATTAATAGCCACCTGGCTTTCGGACATCTTCAACTTCTTTATTTTTTACAAGATATATTTTGCAGTACACTGTATTTGAAAATGCAGAGCCTGTCTACAATCAAGAATTAAATCCAAAAATTCTAATTTCTTATCCTGGATCCCATCTCTAAAATATAAAATTAATTCATCTGGAGTTGCTCAAGACATGATTCATAATTTCATTGTTTGGCGATCGTGAGGACCCGTCGCGGAACGATATGGACGTCGCCAGTCGGCCCAAAGCCATTCCCGACGCGTGAATAAGTCAAAAGATAAACGCGTACAGCTCTATCGCGAACTCTCGTATAAATCTCGGATAGAGGAAACCGTGCTGACTCATAGACTTCCGGGGTGACGTCACCCCGGAAGGAGAAGGATGATAACGCATCCATGGGTAAGCGGGTACGTCTTGTTTACGAGGCAGCTGCAAAGGCCACCGTAGACAGTTTTTCGCGTAAGCTCCCTGAACACCTGTGAACCATTACGTCTCGACCGAAAGCGTTCCCCGGGTGAAATAAAACGGAAGGGATAAAAAATGAAGCCTCTCCATCGTCCCTGTCGACGACTTCACCCGAGCGTAATTAGGATCGAGGAAAGAATGGACAACTGCGAGACAAGGGGCTGCAAAAACTAATTCGATGTTGGAATATGAACCCCTGGATTCCATGTACCTGTGTTGATATTATTTCAAGCAGTGGTTTATAACGTTTGGAAATAATGAAAATAAAATTAAAAAATGTTGGGAAACTTCTTTGGAGAAACATTGTTTAGTGTTTCATGGATATTGATTTAATATTCATATTAGAAAGTGTCTTAACACTAAAACTACAAAAATCATATGCATATTTATTGTATGTGCATACTTTATTGTAATTGTGTTATATGTAACTATGTGCTATATATTTTTTATATATTATTTGTATATATTTAGTTATGTTATGTTGTAACTATATCTTTGTAATTAGAGGTAGTAGGAGCAAACTAATTTGTTAATTAAAATAATTTTATGTTAGAATAATTGTCCCTCAAAATTACAGTTCAAATTACATATATAGATCATCATCATCAGTCAACATCTATCAGTCTGTTCATAATAAAATATATGTTATTTCATATTTATATATATTTTATTTTGTATCATTTACTGTAAACAGACTGATACATATATATCACTACCCATTAAAAAGTATTCCTATAAAGAATACACCACAAATATCAAGTTACACTTAGACATAGCTAGAATTAAAGAACGACTATTTATTTATTAACAGAACAATCTGTTCAAACTACGTAAAATTCTAACACCTCATATGATTATTCCAAAATAAATTATAGAATAATTATATTCATCCACATATGTATAATTAACAGCATTTCCGAATTAAAAAAAAAAGAGAACATCTCAATGTTGGAACTAAAAAGAGCAATTAATATCCACCACGGTTAAATCTACATCGTATCTTACATTTTGAACCTTATTCTTCGTTAATCCCTCGTAGTTCGTACTTCGTTTACCTCGCGCCTATTTATATCCCGTTCGCGTAATTTTCTCTACTCGCACGCGCACGCTTTCGAATATTAACGCGGCCGGTCGACTGTGAAATTTTTAAACGCATTCAATTTATACGACTTCACCGGTTCCGCTCGTTCATTCGTTCAATTATTTGAAGCATGAAATTTTTGGAATAAAAAAGAAAGAAGAAAATCCTTACGTCTCGTGCGCCTCTAATTGGGTCCACACTTCCAAACGAGCGAAACGTTTCCACCGTGAAATTAAAGGTAAACTAATATTTAAATGAAACACGCTAGTCTAGAATACATGGGTCACTCGATTTAAACGGATGTAAATTTCGAGCCGACTTTCGACTTGATCCGCCTTATGTGACAACTACCGCTCACCGTGAAAACTTCTGTCGAGATTGTTTTAAGCGAGGGCTCTACCCTAAATATTCTCCCGCGAACCAACTCAGCCATTCATGGTGGAAAATCGGAATGACTGAATAATGTTTTGAAAATACACTTGTATTTTTTGCCAATGAATATTTGAGCCGTTCACTGCACAAATCGATGAACTCCACTTTTTGAAAAATCTTAAATTTAAAACATTTAATCTCGCTGTCGGTCTGGGCATCTGAAAATATTTTAAAATGATTTTTTTAGATAATCTGTAATCGTTGTCTTATTTTATTCGCTTTTATAAACTAATGAATACATTAAAATTCTCTAGCTGACGAACGTGAGACGATAGTACTTTAAAAATCTGTATAAAAGCTTATTTTATTTTCTTGTCTATTTCTCATCTTTTAATTTCATTATCAAGAAATAAAGTGCAACTGGAGTGTTATTATAAAAACATAATATCAAATAAATATATGAATTAATTAACACACAGAAATTTAATAAACTAACATGAATGAAACTAAAAATAAGAATAAAATAAACATGAGAATAAAATAAGATACTACACGATAAGAGTATTCTTTACCCAAAGTAGCATACTTCGAAGTCCACTTTTCCTCAAGATCTCAAACTACGTGACGCACAGGGTGCCATAAATTTCGTCAATATCCTTTGCAAGCGTACGAGTGCCAGGTTAAAGAGGGAAGTGTCCTATAGGTGGGTTGGAGGCCACTTTGTGGGACATTGGCGTCTTTTATAGGGGTGCCAGCTTTGACCTTTATAGCAAGTCTGAAACCCTATTCGCGGCCATTGGGATAAGTCGGATTTTCCTCTCATTTTCTGCTCTCATTCGTCGACACGAATCAGCGACGAGGTTCGTGTCTCTTGCGTTTTTCCAGCAAATTAGGGTCGCTACTGTGAGTCCTAGCCTTTTACTACAATAGCTTTGGAGAGGTATTTGGAGAGATGATTGCAGATTTGGCAATAGAGCAAATAAAAGATCACGTAAAAAAAAGAAGAAAAAAATATACATGTCGAATTGAGTAACACCTTCCTTTTTCGAAGTCGGTTAAAAAATGTTTATTGTCGTTGATGTATTATGAAAGAGTTCTTTCTAGTTCAATTATAATAAAAATAAGTGTAACTCCTAATTAGATAACACAGTAATAATTTAGTCGCATTTTATCTGCTTAATTGTTATTTGGTCTAACGTGTTAAACCATAAATACATATGTGTTAGAAGCAGTTGAAATGAAATGAAATTTACTGATTTATTTCTGCTACGCCTTCGTTGTTTAAGTTTCGTAGAAAGTAAACGCGATGAAGTAGAAAAACAAACTAGGTACACGATAAAAAATTGAAATGAAACGTATTATTATAATAGGCTTTGTCTAATTCAGTTATAATAAGAATGAGAGAGAAACTCTAAATTAGATAACACGTCAATAATCCAAGAAATTTCACACCCTCTAAGTGTCGATAATAATCTAAGAAATTTCACACCCTAAGTATAAGTATCTAAGTATCGATTGATTCATCTCACCTACCTATACATGCGATCCTCTTA